AAAATTTAATAATATGAAGTTTCCCTTAAAATGATTAGTAATTATTTTTTGGTTACTTTTATATTGAATATTTACTATATTTATGCATATGAGATTTTTTCCTCCCAACATTTTGATCAAATTATGTCGGTTGATACTTGAAATTTAAATTAAAAAAATTTACCATATACTTTATATTGGGCATCATGCAATGAGGGGCTTTATGTTTAATACTGCATTATTTAAAAAATATATATCATTTTCCTTGTACATTTTTGCATATATTATAAATAAGATTAGTTCCTTATTTTTTTAAGAAAAAGTATATAAATACTACATAAAATATACGCAATTATATAATTACCGAATTCAGTCTAGTTCATAAATCCCATTTTAAAAATAAACTAGTATTTAGTACATGATAAATGATATCAGAAAAATGCAGCTACGCCAGTACTCTACCACATGGGGAAAAATTATTGTTAGTTAGGGTCCTATATTCTATACAAATTTCAAAGTTATATTATAATTTTCATAAGTTTTTCTAACAAAATCTTGGCAGCAAAATCCGAGATTTAATAGTGTTTTAATATTATAAATGTTTAAATAAACAATTTTAAAAAAAATCCATAAAATAAGAATGACCAATAATATGTGGTTCTTACAGCTGATTTTAGGAAGATTTAATAAGAATTAGAAAAATAAATGAAATATAAAAATACAAAATTTGTCATTGCGAAATTATTTCGGATTAAATTTCCTTCGGTTTTACCCAGGTTTTAAAAACTTTGTTATTTTAAATCATTTTAGAATTTTTTTGTAATTAGTTTTATAGGGATCTTAATGAATATTATGATCTATCATATTATTTTTTAACAGATAATCTATTAATTTGACAAAAAATAATAATATATTTTTAATCGCAGTTTTTGAGTTTGACTCATTCCATTTTGATAAATATTTAAAATAAATTTATACTTTTGTCTTCACAATTAAAAAATGACAATTAATTTAATAGATGGAGGAAACAAATAACACACAAATTGATTATTCTCGTGGGCCTACTAAAAACTAAGAAATTGAGAAAAAAAATTAACATTTTTATTCCTTATATTATTTTATTACAATATCTACAAGGCCGATTAATGCAATAACCATTATTCGTTTTTATTTTTCCCATAAAAATATTTCTTTAACCACAGTTAGAATAAACTATATTTTATGTCTTATGGAATTTCTTCCAATAGTTTACATTTAGCTCGACGTTAGTATCGGCATGTGATCTCACTCTTTGATATCAATTTAATATAATTAATAATTTCTTGAAAATAAAATATTTAATTTGTTAATGTTTTTTTATATAACATAATAATTTCGTTAAATTTAAACTAATGATATTCTATAATTTTTGGTATCACGTCAATACGGCGCAGATAATTTGGCTGAAAATTCGACGCCATGTCAATTCGGTGCAGCGTCAATTTGACACGTATTTAATACAATTGCAATTTATTATAAAAAAGAATGATTAAATAGAAGTCATTTTGAAAGTTGGTGCTATTAATTATTTCTTCATATTTTTTTTTATAAAAATCTAAATTTTATTTACTATTACAAAAATCAGGAGCGGGAGCTAGCTCCTTTTAGGGCTAGAGTGGAGGAGTGCCACTCCATCGCTCCTTTAAATTTAATGTATAAATTAAATTATTTTTTAAATATTAATAATATTTGTTAATTAAAATTTAATAAAAATGAATTATTTTATTTAAATTTATGCAACATTAAATGTTGAGCCGAGTTTTATATTGGTTTTTCATCTAATCAGTTAAAATATTTAACATCAAGTTTTTCTTCCTTTTTATATTGAAGATTTCTTGGGAAATCTAGTAAGTCATATTAATATTCATATTATAGATATATGATAAGATCCAGACGAAGAAGAAATCGAATTTCCATCCATCATATAAATAATTATTTTTTCTTCTTAAAGAATTAGAACTTCATATGGATATAGGCTTCTTAACTCCAACCATTTCTAAACTTACTTCAAAAATAAATAACTTAGCAGATTTAGAGTGTAAATTACAACTTTATTAGATACGCGCCGAATTGTGGCCGAGCTGAATTGACGCTGTGCCGAATTGATGTGGAACTATAATTTTTATAAATAAGGAACTAAGTATTTCTTTTTAGTGCCAATTTGCAAATTGTAGTTTAAAAATTACGTATTTTTAAAGATTTTATGGATATTGAAAGTGTTGTGTTTTTATAAATCTATCTCATTTTTAAGATGAACCTTTATGTTATTTATTGTATTTTATTTTGTTATCATTTAATTAATTATTTAATTAAATAAAGAAAGGGAGAGTCATTTTTTTTATGGAATAATTATACACTAAAAATTGTATTCATTATTATATTATTCGCGATTAGAAATTGATTTGAAATAAAAAAGAGATTACTCGAAATAATTTAGATTTTAAATTATGTATTTTTTTAAATTAAATTTAAAACACCTTTATGAGAATGAATACTTATTTAAATATAAATTAAATATTATAAATCTTTAATGAATATTATATTAATAGATTTGTTTTATTTTTATTTTATTTTTTAAATTTATTTTTATTTTTTTAAAAATTTTCTATTTTTAATATTAAAAAGATTACAATAAGATAAATTTTAATTATAATATTAAAAATATACATATTATATCTATTAAAATAAAAAAAAAATTATATATGTAAGCGACAATGTGTTATTTTTTTAACTTTAAAACATTTTTTATAAGGTTTTTAATTTAAAAAACTGATTTTATTGGAAATATATTCCAGCATGTTTAGAATATATCTTGGGAATTGTAGACAATTTTTCCCTTAATCTTTGAGTCATTTATAGTTTATATAAAAAATTTACGGAAAAACGCATATAAATTATATTAAGTTTAAAAGTTCATAACAAAATTGTCTGAAATTCATGAGGTAGGTATTCCAAACATTTATGGAATACATTTCCGGTAAAATCAAATTTTTTAAATTAAAAGAAATGGGCTAAAAAATGATTTAAAGTTAAAAAAAATAACACAATGCCTGAAAAAAGACATTGCCACTAACTTATATATTAAAATAACAATAAAAATTCAATTAATCTATGAAATAACAAATCATCGATTACATTAATAGATTAAGTTAAATATAATATATAATCTAATTAATTGATTATACTTTACAGATATCATCAAATAATTTAATCGCTGAAAAATGAAATTAAAATGACAAATCTAAACATTTTATTCAAGTGTGTATCCAAGTTTCGCTTAACATGTAAATCATTTTTATCATGATGTAATATAGACTGATTAAAATTGTATAACTTCGTTTTAACAATTTTTTACAAAAACTTGATATATATATATAGAAAACTGGGAGTTTGACAGTTCTTTAACTATCCTCTTCCTTTCCCTCTATTTTTTGGGTCTTAAATCCAACCCCATTCAATCTAGGTATGGTAGAGCTTGGTAGACATAATTTATTAATTTTCAGCTTGGTTATCATAAAAATCAAAAAATACGTTGCCTGCTAATGGCTATACATTTAATCAATATAATACAATTATGATAATTTTTATATAACCATTTTAAAAAATAATAATCAGTGTAAATGATTTGAAGAGACACATTAATTATAAGTAAAATCAATTAAATACATGGGATTAAAATAAACAAAACTTTATCATGTTAATATATCTTAAGCGATATATAAAAAATGAATATAAATACATGTCTACACTTAAAAGATCAAGCAAGCGCCAATATATTCTCAACAAAACAAAATATATGTTGTACATACTTAACATCTAGCCAGCGTCTACATGAGCGGGAGGGGTAGGAACAGTTTGCATCCTATTTTTTTGAGGGGGTAGGCGGCTTTATGGGGGTAGGATAAAAAAAATTTTGGGTTTATCTATTAAATTTTGAGATGAAATAGCACAAAATTTATTGCTGTAAATACTTTTATTATAGAATTAATAATAGAATTCATCGACCAAATCTATATATTGCAAACAATCATACATATTGTTTTCCAAATAAACTATCCTTTTAAATGTAATTTAAAAGGTTTAGATATTTCAGCAAGCTCATAATGCCATAATAATTAATTCACTGTAAATAATAGAGGTTTTAATTGAATTTATTATCTAAAAAATAAATTCTTTATATTCACAAAATATCAATAGTTGGTACTAGAGATAGATTAATTTAAGTTATCCTTTATAAATTCTTTGAAAAGACTATCAATAAATTAAATACAAAGATAATAAGAGACACCGCCGCCGAAGGTGGCGTGAAATTTTTAGAGGGGTAGGCAAAGGTTTTTGAAGGGGGTTTGCATCCAGTGAAAATCCTGTCATGTAGACGCTGCATCTAGCAAATTATTAAATTAATTTTTAAAATAGATGAAAGATATTACATAATATTTATCCAAAATAGATAACGTGTTTGCGGCATTCATTTTCGGCCAGATTGTAAAAATCATTTTCAAATCATTTGCTATTTTATCAAATGAATGACTAGACTTCCCTTAATTTGCCATAAGTCAGGAAATGTTAATTTGAAAAAAATGATTGAGATAATATTATATTCTTCTTTTAATAAATTTCATATGTATAAATATTCTTGATAATTAATTTATGAGAAAATTAAACATTTTTTTATATTTCTAATTTTGTATTATTAAAGATACAAAAAATTATCATCTACAATAATACCAAAACAGTTTCGCAATACTATAACAACTCTAAAAAAATTAAAACGGCCAACTCAATATTTCTTCCAGAATAATATTACGAAAGCCTGAAGATTTTGTCTCCAGAAAAAACAAAGGTTTGGATATCTATTAGCGAAATCTCCATACTTTTTTGGCTAAAATATTGAGTTTGCTGTTTATAAAAATAGGCTCAAAATGAGCCATTTAACAACACTAATTTAAAAAGTATATATTCCCAAAATGTTTGCAGAAATTTTTTTAACATTCATTCATGTAATATTTTCATGGAAACAGCTAGCTTGAAATCCTCGATTTCTATAGCCTCTCTAACATCATTGCCCTTGGAAAATTATGATAATTTAGAAGGCGATCAACTAGTTCGTGAAGTAAGCTAACATTTTTTTTTATTAAGATATAAAAAACAAATAAATTTTACATATAACGACCATTTTAATATTGTGAAAAGCAATTGAAATAAATATGTTAATAAATTTTACCCTTTTAACTATAAAATAGGAATTCTAAAACATTTATAGCTTAATCTATAATGAAATAATTGCTTTATGAAATTAGCAACCTAATTTGGCTCTTACTATGTATGATCTTAATAAGTTATGTTATATAAATATATTTTTTAATAATTTAGAACACTAAATATTTAATAATATATATTTTAATTTATATCATAATTGTAATAATAGACTAACTTCATATTACAATATTTTTAAATTTCAGTTATACCAAAATATATTTGATTTTTATCAAAACTTAAACAATAAAATTAATGTAGTCATATTTAATCTAAATTTATAAACAAATGTTAAATAATTCTGATGATATAAGATTTCAGGTCAAATTTATCAGTGGATTTTTCGAAAAACTTTAACACTTTATTTTATTATAATTGTAAAATATTTATTTTATATTTGAATTAATTAAATTTATGGATTACTCTTTATCTTTTATATATATTTATAAATATTATATTTAATTGAGTAATTTATTTAGTTTATAGCTACTATCTAGGTATATACTTATATTCCCAAAAATACTCTATATTTCAACCTCCAAATTTTTATTCTATTTTATCTCACATTCTTATTTCAATTCAGATGCCCTTAAAATAGTACTGTGATTTATTTAAGATCCTTATGTTTTTTTCTAATATATGGCATTTATTTATTTAATTTAACAAAATTTTAGTGTAATTTTTTCAAAATGTCTAAACAAATTAATTAAAGAAAAAATTTAATAATTAGAATTATATATATCATTTTAACCAAAAAAAATAAATAACACGATGTAAAAATCTAACCTTTTTTAAAAAATATTTTGAAAAAAATTATATATTAACCCTAGCCTTGCCCACATCTGTCCTAATTTGATTTATCCAAAATATACAATCATATTTTATGAGATGTATGTATAAAAAAATTTAAATACTTTAAAAAAATTTATATTTATGGTTTAAATATTTTCGTTTTATTGAAAATTTTGTTGCAAATAATGTGACAAGCATTGTTTGCTCAAACCCATAAATTCTAATAAGATGACTAGGATTTTTTTTATTATGCTGAAGATATTTATAAAATTTCAATTTAATGTTTTTAATCCCCTAGGATTCTTAAAAATTTCGATTTCCGCCAAATAAATATATATTACCTAAACTACCGATTTTGCTAAAAGACACCCAAATCTTTCTGTCATTTTTTGGCGAAGTTTTGAGACCTAGATATTTTTTTTAGCTAAAATAAGGGTTCGGGACTCACTTTCCCCATCCCATATCGAACCTTTGAACCCGAAAATTAGATTTATAAACTCGGACCTGAATTCGTTTTTTTTCCTGACAGATGTTCAGAAATATTTAGCTGTTATGATTTATTTCTTTAAAATAATAGTTAAATATAATCAGGTTAAGTCCAAACTTGACAAGTTTTTTTAAAAAAATTTACCAATACCGGACCGAGCTTAGGTTCAGCCTGCCTGGATTGAGCCCTATATTTAAATTTTTTTAGCCTGGACCCATACGAACCTGGCAAAATTTTTACTGGGTTCAGGACCCTGGCTTAAATCTGGATTTAGTTAGCTCTTTTTTTTAAAAAAAAATCTACTAAATCGTGGTTTTTTAACAACACTACCAAGCCGGTGTAGGGGAAATGATGAAGAATTTAGATTTGCATCGAATGAAACTCGCATAAACATAATATAAATTTGTCTACAAATTATATTTAATATATTTAGGTTTAGAGATTGTTTAAATGAAAAACTGTCATAAATTATATTAATGAATCGCGCTAACTATGGATGAGGGGTAAGACTGTAACAATTTTTTTTTAGCAGGGTTTGGAAGTGTAACCCAGACTAAAAAAAATAGTTCCGTTTCCCACAAATTTTTAAAATATTCTGATTCAACTTTCTTGGATTTAACCCGGTTTTAAGCTTTTGTTATTGAAGGAATGCAAAAAAAATTCTATCTTTGTTTTTATCTTTAAATTAATATGAATGAATCGAATGATTAATATTTAATACGAATAATTATATGATTGAAAGATCGCATTCGTGAGCGTGATTTCCGATTCTTAAAATCGGAACTACATCTAAAAATAAATTTCTATGAATCATTTCTATTGATTATTTATTTTAATTTTTTTTTTATCAAATCTATTATATTTAATTTAATTACTCATCGTTTAATTTGTCGGAAAATCCTAATATTATTTCAATTTTTTTGCCTAGCTAGGAAAAAGTTTGTCTACTTTTTTTAAATTCTGTATAAAGACGTGTCGAAAATTTTAAAAAATTTGATTCGCAAACTTTTGAAACTTTATCAAAAAACAAGAAATATGTTTTTTTTTATTATAAAATAAAAACATGTCCAAAATTATTTTTAGAAAATTTCAAAAATTTAACATTTGTTTTAATTAGAATTATAAAATATCGGAAAGTTTTGAAACAAGATTTTAGACATAAAAATTCAAATTGAGTAAAATGAGAAATAAATTTAAAAAAATAATTAAATAAGAAAAGAAAAGAAAAGGAAGAACTAAAAAGATAAAATACTCTATCTACTTTACCGAAAATACGGACTCATAAAAAATATTATTCCTCACAAAATAAGTAGGGAATTTGAATAAAATTTAGATAAATAAATCGATACAAATACCGATGTTGAATCGGATTGAAGGATATCGTCATTAGTGGTCAGCGCAACCCGAGGCTTGGCCCGCGTGCGAGGCCAGACATTTTGTTCAAAATATTTTTTCGGCCGGGCCGTTTTTAAAAGTGATATAAAATTACGATATAGCCCTAGATCATACCGATATTAAGCATTTATGTACTATATATAATAAATAGGCTTTTCTCTCTTTCTTTCCTTTACAATTTTCTTATAAAAATTAAATTTTATTTATAATTTTTTGAATATCATTAAAGTTATTTTAATTAATATTACATTAATTCTTAACTTTTTTTATTACACAAAAAATATAACATTAAAAATATTAGTAATTTTTTATTTTAATTTATTTTTTGGTTTTTAATTGGGGGGAAATTTTAGATTAAAATTATTTGCGTCATTTTTGTATTATTAAATAATTTGTAAAAAAAAATTAATTATAATTTTTTCAATTTAAAAATTGATAAAAATAAAATATAGAAATTTTTTTTTATTATAATAAAACTATGTAAGACTTTAAATGACGTTTTTTAAATATCCGAAAATGTTATATTATGTCATTTGGTGGAAACATATATCAAATACGGAGGTTGCCATGCCTTCACAGTTAGCGCAAATTTGCAGCAAAGTACACAAAAATACAGCATATTTTGCTTATTCCGCCGCGAATTCGTACTATATGAATTCAGGGTTAAACGGCTCGATTTAGCCCATTTTAAATTAAGATTTTTGCCAAAATAACATTTCGCAATCCTCTAGGCTTCGTTGATAAATATCCAAACCTTTCTGCCATCTATGAGCGAAATCTTCAAGCTTGCGGGATATTTTTTAAGCTAAAATATTGGGTTGGTTGTTTTAGAAAATCGAGCCATTCAACACCAAAACTAAAATTATAATTTTTTAAACTACCCACCAATAAGAGTTTAAAAACCAGTATCAGAACCAAAATTTTTTAGGAACCGGAAAAAAAAATTCAGAATCGGATGGGAATTCTTTATTTAGTCTAGATTCCAGACTCAAAGAAAGAAAAGAGAGTAGAATTAGAATAGCCAATCTTAAAATTGCCTTTCAAAATATGTTTGGGACTTGCAAACTAACTCGACTTTCTAAAACCCTGTAAGTGATTTGGGTCTAACTTAAATTTGTGGTTTTTTTTAAAAAAAATCTGAATAATTAGAATTTCTTTGGAAATAAGACAAAGCAATTAGTGATTTATATTTAACCTTATTACTTTCTTTTATTTTTACGTGAAATTTATTTTTAATTGTACCTTGATTAAACATTAAATATTTTCCCCCAACTTCATTATAATTTAGCAAATTTATAAGTCATATTTGCCTATAAAAGGCGGTTATCGAGTTTCAGGGGTTCAGCCATTCGTCAGTCATGGCTACATGGTTTCGCAAAATCGTAGATGCTGGGATCATCCTGAAGGCGGGAGTTGAAAATCAGCATAACTTAAGGGCTGAGTTGATTGTTGCTAAAAACTTGATTCTGAAATCGAAATAAGATCGATATATCAAGGATTAAGTGATCACGATAATATAGCCGCTAGTGTATTATCGTAATTCAGTGGCGCAACCTTTTCCTTTGAAGATGCCCAATTATCAATATAAAAATCACATATTAGATAAAAAAAAATTGAATCGTTAAATAAATTGAATATATGATATTTTATTCATTGGGCTTATTGAAAAACGATTACGAAATCGAATAATCAATCTTCGTATTCGATTTTTTTTTAAATTTAATCGAGCTATCCGTATTTATACGTTTAATAAAATTTACTATTCGTATTAGATTGGGATACCTACGAATAAATTATTCGCTTATAATTCGTTTCGTATTTATTTTTTGAATAGGCCGGCCTAGTATTCATTTGCGATTTGAGAATTCGTCAATTATACAAAATATGAAATATTATTTTAAAACCTAACCGTCCTTGTCGATCTGTCGATCGGATAAAAATATATTATACATTTTGATCAAAGAAAAAAGTGCAAGCCAACAAGATTTTATACCGGTGTGTATAATCATATTTTTAAGCATGTTATGCAAATCAGGAAATATTGATTTTGGTAAGAGTTTCAATAGGAGATGGATTGTTTTTTTCGAGAATTTTCCTTTAAATTTTTATATTATAAAACAATATTTTTTTTCCATTAATAATTCAATATTAGTGGAAGGTAAAATTTATAATGGTATATTAATGTAAATATAATATTGCCAAGCATAAAATTAGTTTATAATATAGGAAATAGGAATTAAACCCGTTTAATGCTTTCTATATTTGGAAATTTATAAAAAAAAATTTCGACAACATATCAATAATTTTAATAGTAAACGTCAGTTTTTATGATCAATATCGAAATAAAGAAAATATCCAGTATAATTCAAAGATGGTTTTTTTAAAACAATTATTTGAACATATTTGTAAATTGAATTAGATGAAAATGCAATATTGGTCATATAATTTAGAAAAATCTTTATTGCTGATTCGTGAATTTTTTATGTAACGTAACTGCAAAACTCTAGTTGTCTATTTATTTTGCATCTTACCTGTATAAATTCATAAAATATTCAAAAATAAAAAGGATTATTTGTTTTTTCAAAAGATAATAAATTAGCTAATAGCTCGCTTAGCCTGAGTTACTTATTTTTGGATTTGATTATACTTTGTATTAATTATAGCTTTAAAGCTATATTTGATAGTTTTTATTTTACTAGTGGCTTCAATCGATTTTCTTTTTCAATCTAATATTTTCTTGAACTTCTCAGCCCGTTATGGCGAAATACGAATAAAATAAAAATGAAGAGTTTGTAGATGGTAAAAAAAAGGCACTAATGAGGTATAGCTGCACAATAAGATTGCTTTTATGGGCAATAAGCGCATATATATAATGCGAGGGGATTAGTCATTCGGAAAAGGGCTTTAACTCCTTATTTTCTATCCTCATCTAAAGAAGTGATTCAATTTTGGTTTGAACAACGTTTAGACATTTTTAAATTAAGTAATTGTACATTTCTCATACATTTATTTTTAAAATATTTACATTTTTAAAATTTATTTACTATTAACATTTGCATTATTTTGGTTCGTGAGTGCCCAAAAGACTCAAGGCATGAAAAAATTGGTAATGCCCTAACTGATTTTTCTCTTTGCTGGTGTACACACAATACTTTATCCAAATTACACCACTGTAATATAGATGTAGTGTTGTTAAATGGCTCTATTTGCGCCGATTTATAAAATCGGCTAACTAAATATTTTAGCCATTTGCCTAAATCTCGGATTTCGCTAATAAATGTCCAAACCTTTGTGCCATCTATTAGTAAAATCTTCAGGCTTGCATAATATTTTATTGGATAAACGGGCGCAAATAAAGCCCTTATTATAATTGTTTAATATTCTCGAACTGTCGAGACCGAGAGAATCAATAAACATATAAAATTCCTGTGAAAACTTAAATTTTTTATTTTAAATTTTTCAATTTTTAAAAATTTTTTTTTTTTATTTCTTACTTATAGTTGGAAAATTTGAGAAACATCATGAGGCTCACCAAGGAAAATTTAGACGCGTTACATGCCCATTTCTCCAATCTAAAGAATCCTCCGTCTTTATATCTAGAGGTAAATATAAAAGAGATATATAAATTATACAAATTACTAATCCCCATACTATATAATATAATGTCCATCATAAGATGCCCCATATTGCCATATTCATGAAAATATGTAACTCTTTTTACAATATTTTTTTAAAAAAATTAAATTTTGAAGTGCCATTTATTTTAAGGGTGAAATATCATTCACCTGATCCCCAGATTAATTTTTTGATTAAAAAGGGTAGTATAACATGTTCACCCCTCTAATTCGTCTTCTATTTCTTTTCCGTTCAAAAGGTAAGCGGTGATCGCAATGTTTTGTGAAAACCCCTCTTTGAGTTTAGTGTCAACTTGATAATCCTTAAGATATCTTAACTAAAATATTTACTTCATTATGAACCTTATATAGTTCAATTACTCGAATATTGGTTCCAGATTAATTTAAGGACTAAGCCCTGTAATGGATTCATTTTTTCCGTGAGTCTCATTAATATAGCAGATTTATTTACAGATATATGGCTCATTCTTTAATTACGCCATTTTTAATTCTTAATTTTTTTTAATACTTATCCGCCATTTTTCTTCCGGTATTTTCCGAATCTGAAATATTATTTAATTTATTATCTTTGAATAACGGATTACCATTTTTTTTAAGGTGAAAATACTCAAATAATTGTATGGCCGACCGATTTTTGTTATCCAGTTCCATGCCAGTATGGACCTCTTTTTTTACTACCCATAAATCGAGATACACTATCTTATTATTGACAGTTACACTGACTCTGGCTTTACCCAAAACTATAGAAAGAAAGAGATAAAAAAGTGTTTAACATATATATTACCCTTTTCAAGGATTTCCTTTTGCCACTAATTACGATACTATTTATATACCATTCAAAACGCCCCCGTGTCAAAAAGCTTTCCAATGTCGTAATTTACATCGAATATCGCTTTACAGGAAAATATCCATAAATGTCAATTTCAAACTGTTACTTACAACACTTAGGAATGGGCTGGACTGGTTAACGTCTGAATAAAATTTATTCGGGCCTGACAAAAAAGTTATAGAGCAAGTGAAGTGAATCTAATTCTCTTCAACATTAGAAATAGCTTGTTTTTTTGTTGTTCAACTACATATATTTCGGGTTAGGCCTTATATAAAAATCCGCGCCGAGGCGGGCAACCTTAATAAAAAATTCGAAAACTGCTGGACAAAATCTAAATTTCATTCAGGCCCGGCTGAAAATTTTACCATAAAAAAAAACTAATTTCGATAAAATATTTTTGGCTATTATATCCCTGGCTGGATTTTGTTTAATTCAGTTTTGGCCAAAATTGTAGTTTGAACATTATAATAATGGTTTTTTTTTACTTTATAAAATAAATGTAGGAAGCCTAAACTCAAAAATTTTCCATTAAAAAAAAGGCCTTAAAAGGAAACGCGAAGCGTTCCAATTTTTTTTCTAATATGTAATATTTAATTTAATTCCATTTTTTTTCTAAAAATAACTTTATATTAATTATCAATTTATTTTCATTATTAATATAAAAGAGATGCTGCCTCTCTCCCACGTGGATTCATGTGGGAAAGAAGAGGGGAATAAAAATCAATTTTCGATAAAATATAATAAATAAAAATGTCATCAGCATTTAATTAATTTTTTAACTTTTTTTGTTTCATAATATTTCATTGTATATATATTTTTTTTAATAAATAAAATTGGGTAATATAATACTTTTTCTGCCAAAATATTTTTTAGCTAATTTTATTTTAGCAGATAAAATATTTTAAACCGGAAAATAATATTGTGTATATTAAAGAAATGGCGTCCTTTCTTTTATTTTGAAAAAACTTTCAAAAAAAATTATCGACCAACCGATCAAAACAAATTGGTCCGATAAGTTTTTGAACTCGAATTTCATCTAATTGACAACATATCGGGGAAATTTCCGTGGTCAATGTTGTTAAATGGCTCGATTTGAGCCGATTTTTAAAAATGGCTAACTCAAGATTTTAGCCAGGAAAATATTGCCAAAGCCATAAATTTCGTTAATAGATGTCCAAACCTTTGTGCCATATATGAGCAAAATTTTCAGGCTTACATTATTTTCTTTTAGATAAAATATTGAGTTAGCCGTTTTTAAAAATCGGCTTAAATCGAGCCGTATAACAACACTATCCGTAGTACGGTTTGAATTGAACCTTTAATATGCAATTTAAACATCAAACTCAGTCTTTCGAACGATAAGCATAAGAACGGCCGAATCTTATGCATATATTGATAAATTCCACATGATCAATTAGTTTTTTTGTTTAAAAGAAAGAAAAGAAAAATTCTTTTAAATCTTTTACAATACGCGTTATATTGCTTTTACCACATCTGAGGATTTTTTAAATATTAAATTTTTAAAACAAATATAAATATCGAATTTTTTCAAGTAATAAAAATACTCTGTGTCTTTGCTTGTTAATTTATAGTCATTTAAATAAGAAGCATATTAAATTCGAATGATCATAAATTTAACAAATATGCCTTCCATTTCATTTAACCGTTATGCTTCATTTATAGTAAACTCGTTATTAATGTAGCGTTATTACAGCTGATTCAGTTTATAAAATTAATTTAAGATAAAGCTAAAATAGAGATTTTTATCGAATTGGTTATTTTTATAATCGTCTCTCGTATTTTTTATCAACGCATAGCAAAATATGTTTTTCAAATTTTATCTTAGCCTTATCATCATAACACTTCATATTTATAAATTTATACCCTATTTATCGGCTTTTTTGTAATAAAGCCACGCTTGAATATAATATGTTTAAATGAGGCCTTATAGTGCGCACAAATTGAGCGTTTCAAATAAATAGCATCGCGCAAATTGTTAAAATTACCGTTTGGCATTAGAAACCATTTTTAAAAAACGCAAACTGGTATCTTTCAATTCTTTTTTTATTCATTCATCTTGCAAATTGGTCTATGACCAGTTCTTTAAGAACTCGGTTTTTTTTGCAAAAAAGATAGACAAAACCTTGTTACCCAGATAAGAATAATAAGGTGGAGCGAAATAAAAATACTTTCCTAGTTGTTTAATTGTTATGTAAGTTGAATTATATATTAGATAAAATGTTTAAAAAAATAACCTGTCTTTCAAAATGGAATATTTCTAATTTAATAAAATAAATAAGGCAGACGATAATACTTAGTTAAAATTTTGAATCGACGATACCAATGAAAAGATGACCTCAATTTAAACAAGGGGTTACGTTTTTTTATTAAAGAAGTACGACAGAACGCAGACACACAATTTGTTCGCACTTATTAAGAGTTCCGATTCTTAATTTCAAATTATTTTCAAAATATGGCTCCAGTGTCTGATCAGATTCATATTTCCAAACTTTCTTAATTTTAATTTAAGCAAAGAAGAATAAAAAAATTTAGAATATTTAGACACTAAATTATAATCATTTTAAAAATGAATCGCCAAAGAATATCAATTTTAAAAAAAAATATATATATCTCGCAGTATCATTTGCACGACCAGGGCCGGATTTAAATAAAATTTCTGCCCGTCCCGGATTTTTAAAAGTATATCGCATTAATTTTTATAGTTTATAATGACGATTTAAAATATCTGGCCCGGTCCGGTTTTTTTTATAAAAACTTTAGGCCCGGCCGGGGTATATTTAAAATGTTCCAGTGAAGGTTAACTTTTTCATAACGTGGCCCGGATTTTTTTATAAAAAATTTTCGACCCAGCTCTGCTCGGATTTTTTTATAAAAAATTTTCGACCCAGCTCTGCTCGGATTTTTTTATAAAAAATTTTCGACCCAGCTCTGCCCGGTTTTTTTTATATAATTTTCAGGCCCAGCTCGGGTATTTAAAAAAAATTTAGGCCCGGCCAGGGTATATTTAAAAAAATTAAAATACAACCCGGCCCATGTACCCGGGCTTAGGGCCGGGCCTGCAGGTCTCTGATACATATATATTTATACATATAAATTAGTTTAATTTTGTTTGAATGTGCTCTTGTAAATTTTAATACTGCTTTTGGTTACAAAGTGAAGACACTTAGATTTGATTCGCTTCCTAGGGTTATTATTACTGGAACTGCTTTAAGAGATTTTACTTGCTAATATTAGCACGATTAAATATTGGTGGGAATTTTCTACAAAAATTATTCTTTATTATTATATAAAGCATTTTAACACCAACTTTTTTAAACAAATTTCATTTTGATAGCAAAATCCATATGGAATTTCGTTTTTTCTCTCTCTCTCTCTTTATATTTTTCTCATTTCAAAATGATAGTTGATAATGTCAAATGTTGTAAATTAAGAATTGAAATACAACGGCCAAGGAGAGGAAGACGGAAATATTTGCTTTTAAAATAAGGATCTAATAAAAATAAAATCTATTTTTTTTTCATGAAAGGGATTTTTGAGGATAATAATTCTTCCTCTTTCCTTCTTTTGGCATATTTAAGGGACCATTTTGGGGATTAAACGGTGTCAGATTTTTATCAATTTTTTTTAGATTTGAATTACCTTATTTTTTTGCTAATTTAAAATTTGGATTACTTTTTGAACACGTTCCAAAATATATTGGATACATCATTAATTATATGTGTATGCTTAGAAAAACCTGGCAATAAAAGGCTAATTTTATTTTTTAATATTAAACTCTTAACTTGATTTTTAAAAATAATTTTGTAGGAATACCAGGAACTTTCGGATAAATTAGTCAATTTCAGGGGTCAAGAAATGGTTTTGATGGATAAGATCAATAACGGCGATAGCGCGTCTTTTTTTCCCACGATCGACCTTGAGGCGGATGAATTTATCTTACGACCTATTTTGGGGAAAAACGCCTTGAATATTACTAACCGACAACAAGAGCTAAACACAAGCGAAATTGACTACTGTTGCGGGAAGGACATCTATAATGCAAACAGCTCCAATTCTAACCACCTTGATACGAACGTACAGTCAAGTCACGATATAATACCTATTCTTAATATCGAAGATGAATCGAATGGCTTAACCCATATTAAAGATAAGAACAATGCCGATGTTACAAATGATACCAACATTATCGTAACCCATAAAAATCCGGAGAGAGGGGACCATGACCTAAATACGAAAACTAAATTAACCGGGGAAAATTTGGAGAAGAGTAATAAACCCGGAAAACCTTTTATACGTGTGCATTTGCCTAATCATCAAAGGACCACGCTGCCCTACAAGCCAGGCACTCAAGTCAGGGAAGCGCTCAGGAAAGCGTTGGCATTCAGAAATTTAACTCCCGAACGATGCCTCATTTACAATTATAGAACTAAGTGAGTTGTAGGGGGGGGGGGTCTTTATATTTTTTTACTGTTTTTAATATTCCCAAAAAAGTGGTTTTGGTTTGAAGAATTAATATTTTCAAAGAAAAGGCCAGATGGAAAGAATGTGAGGAAATTGTCAAGGAATTTTAATCACGGTTTATTCCAAAGCCATTAGTTAATTAAATACGTCCTAGGTTATATGATATTTTATTAAGGGAAAAAACACCTAAACGTTATAGTGCTTCTTGATTGAGCGTTAATGTTTAAAATACACTTGTATGCTTAAATTAAAAATTGTTTTTTTAAAAATATTATAAAATATTTTTAACTTATTTCTATTTTGCGCTTGTACGTAATTTAAGTAATTTATATTCATTTGGTTCACTTCTTTAACGCTCCGTTTAAAACGCAATTGTTAAAATTCTGCTTTAACGCTTAACCGTTTTAAACGCAGCGTTAAAGAAATGGACCCTGCCAGAAACCTAGATCGAAATTTTATAGTGGATGATACCAGTTTCACTAAAAGACATTCAGGTACATATCCGATCCCACCTAACCCCGATTATTTGGACCGGACCTTGATTTAAAAAGGTTTTAATTAGAACTCAGTCAGATTTAAAAAAAATTTTTAATGCCATGTTCTGATTCGTCTTATTTTGCAAACAGAAGTTTTGCGGTCTATATAGCTTCCTCTAAACAGCCTTAATGAGGAAGACGCTATTTAGATTTACAAGGTAAAGCGTGACACTTTCCAAACCAAAATATTTAATTAAATGTTCGTTTAAAACAAGCTAAAATAGGGTGCCCTAGTTAAATAGGCTTATCCTGGGTTAGGTTAAATAGAAAAAAGGTAAAACATAAGAAGAACCAAGACAGGGCCACCCTAAGACTTTTATAAGTCATTTATTTCCCTCTAGTGCTTATAATAATTTTTCCCTTTTCCTTGAAAAATATTTTTTCTCCATTTTCGGATTCGGATATTTGAAAAAAAGTTCGGGTCGGATAAAATATGTCGAGTATCCATATAAAATTAAGCTTTTAAAAATTTCAGTAGGTTATCCTTAACAAGAATATAACGCCCGTTACTTTATTTTATAAAGGGAAACTATACCCTGGGACACGGACATTAGTTCTCTCGAAGGCCAGGAACTTACCGTTCAAATAATAGATGAATTCAGATTTTCGACGTCCATCACCCACAATTTGGTAACAAATACATTAAACAAATTATTTATATGTGACCTGCAAGCAGTGCCCTGAAAAATAATTTTTTCGCTGCCCGACTTTATAAAAAAAATTTCTGTCCTAGCCCAAGCACAAACTTTTTGTTTTAACTCGATTAATTATTTTGGAATTTGAAGTTTAAATATTATAAATTAAAAATTAAATATGATTCTGATTCTGATTGACATTTCGTTGATCACAAAATGATTATTGAACGTATTACTAATATTTAATTGTATGGTCATGCTTCGGATCGGGCTACCTTTTACAGCTCGAACCAAGCCCTTCGGGTAACCTATACAGGCCTCAACCTGCACGCCTAACCCGTTTTTGTAATTGAAATTGAATTTTTTGAAACCCGAGCTGGGCTGGTAAATAAAAGGTTCAATGAATCCGTACTGGGCCTCTAAATGGGTACACTTATACGGTCGCGGATTTATATACTATGTAAAAAATTTAATAATCCTTCGAAATATATTTCTACTACATTTATTGCAAAATTTTTCCATATTACAATCAACATATATACAATTTACTAAATACGCTGATTACACGCGATTTGACCTTAAAACATCGTCTCCCCCAACCCCATTCCCTCGTAAATAACATTTTAAAAAAAATTTGATCGAATCTTACAAATGATTAGAAACATGATCTTTTATCACATTGGGAGAAACATAAAACAGTTCATAAAAATGTCCATATTTCAATAATAAAACGTATAAAGCACGAATACATTTCACATTCATAACATAAAACTTATAATGATTATTATTAAATTTTTTTTATTAAAATAGGATTTATTAATGATTGTTTGTTTTATCTCACCTTAACATTTTTTAAAAAGTTACTTACGAAGTCTTGCAGTGAGGAGGATACACTTTAAAATATGGAAATTATTCGGTATTTAACAAGTAATCAGACGATAAAAAAATTATGTGTATGTGTCAAAATATCTAAATCTTTGGAAACGATATTTTTCCAACCTCGATTTTTTTTAGTTTGTTATCACTTATGCCCTTGAACTCTATGGTAATGGCCTTAATCTTGCAAACTTTATTATCACATGAATCTATACAAAACCATAAGTAAGAATAACACGCCTAAGCATCATACATAGATTGATTAATATAAAAAAACTCCTCAATTAAAAAAGAATCACGTGAATTATACCAGTGACCTTTTCCGCTTAATATAAAATGTAATCAATTTTACATCCATTAAGAAATAGCCATTTATAATAAAAATATTATTTTTAGTATAATATTAGTTTGACTTTGGCTTTATAACTTATAAAAAATACGTCCTAATCATCTGATTTTATAAATCGTGTTGTTGTTTTGATTTCGTATGTTTCACCTGATCTAGCTATACGGTCAATCAGCCAATCACGCGTTTTAAAAGTTATTATAACTACCAAATTTATCTAGCCATTAGGGACAAGGACTCGTGATTCATTAAATGAGTTCGCTACTTTATAATGAAAAAATTATTTACATTTGGTTAATATCGGAGATGCACATTATCAGTATGTGTCCATTATTTAATGTATCGGTGATACTTTTTATTTTTTGTCGCTACAAAATTATTAAACTCTAAAGGTTATTTGAATAACCCTTAGGTGCAAGCTTAAAAAAAATTATATTTTAGTTTTTTCAAATTAAGCATAAAAAAGATATTAATTTTTTAAGAATATTATAATCATTTTAAAAAGTTATTTGTTCCCTTATGCTTTCCTTTCCCTGTTTTTTATATTGATTATTTTTTTAAAACTTTTTCGTTCTCTTATAATAATTAATAATTTTATTATACTCTACATTTTCCTGGCTGGCGCTTTTCTATAACAACACTACGCTAATTAAAATTTAAAAGGTTCGCTAACAGTTATAAAAAGTTTTTTGGTTATAGTATTTATTTATACCAAATTTTTCTTAAATATAAATATTTAAAACTCAAAAAAATGTAAATTGAATTTATTAGGAAGATCACACTATAACAAAGTATAATGGGAAATCAGTTGGGTTTTCTTTCACTTTGGATCCGATGGACTGCGTCCATATATATTTCAATTTTTGAATCCTTTATTTAATTGCGTACATTATTAATACTATGTCCAGATATAACCTTATATGTAATATATATTATTAAATTGAATATTACATATTTTGTCTTTATTAATATATTAAACAACGGGTTGAAAACGGCCCATAATTATATAGATTCGGATAGCTCCTTTTAGCTATTTGATATAAAGGTTCAAAGGTGACGACTTAAATATCTATGGGGGGGGGGGGGGGGACTTAAATTATTTTTAATGTTTTTGAAATTTTTTCTAATTGTTAAGTTGTAATTTTTAATTTTTTTGTTGCAGAATGGTAAATGTTTTATGGTTATATTATAAGAGAGGGTGAAATGGTCTTAAATGATGTACTCTCATTTTAAATGGAGCGAAATATTTCCATACGTTTGGAAGAATCTTGATCAATCTATCATTAATATTATGAAATTAATTTTTGCAGTAATATTAAAAGAATTTGGTCCCACCTTAATGCGTGACTTGCCCAATGTACTTAGAATAATCTAGATTCTTACAAGTTTGTTTTTAACCCAATCTTTCCACAAAAGTTAGACACTCCGCCATAACACTGATCTCTGCTTTCTCTATTTTTCAAAGTAATTATTAACTTTGATTACCCAATAAATATTTCAGAATTTTTAAAAATTTTAAATAATTCATTATATTTTAAAAAAATCCCGCATAACAAAAATATGGTGATACCTACTTTTTAAGGATATATTCATCCACGATTATCAAATATAATGCAGCCGATTTTATAAGTTTGGCAAGTTTTTTTTGTAATTCACAAGGCAGTATTATGGGAATTTCATTACTTATATAATTATTACGAATCAATTCTTTTGATTTAAAACTATCATCAGCTCTAAACTTCACACAATCCGAATTTTAGTTCTTTATGTGGCGCTAACGTCAACCCTTTAATTGCGATATAATGATTAGATGATGTTATTTTAATCAATGATATGTTTCGTTTTTTCATGTTTCGTAATTTTGCTTGGGAAATCGTCGTGCGAAAGGTAGTCCCTTCATAATGGAAGAATCTTCATAAATTTTTAACCTCTTGAGTGACATTTTCCACTTGCAAATTCATTGTGAGCGAAGACATTTAATACTCTTCTATCACCATTTATAGATGGCAAAGAGCCTTTTTCATAGATTTATTAAATGTATTTTATCATTACCTTTATGATTCAAAGAAAGAAAGAATCAAAGATTTTGCCAGATCTATCATTGTTAAATTAAATCTTTCAATGCACGCCTCTGAGCCATCTAATTCAATGAGAATGTTCTAGAATATTGTACTTGTTAAATTGCTTTTAAAAATACTTCTTTTTTTTATGGAATAGACAAAATACGGATTGTAGATGTAAAGGTACTCTCTTCATTTTCAGATATGTAATTGAGAATTGATTTTTTTTTTAAATAAACGCATAATTATATATTTTATAACTTTTTTTTCTATGAGGGTTGAGCACCAATAATAAATTTTTTAAAATCTATAACGCGTTGTCATGTGACTAACTGTGGTTATTGGGGTTAGAGACAATGTGTCTTGTTAAATCGTTCAAATATATTACACAGAAGAAAAAAAATAATTATTCTCCTAACGAAACACTTCTAAAAATAATTTCTCAAGGTGAGAAAAACTTTCTTCACTATCTCGTTTTGCGAAGTTTGCCACAAGGTGTTGTTTCACGGGTTCCGATGCCTAACATGCGGTTTCAGGTTTCACCAAAAATGTGGTTCCTTTATTCCCCCCTTCTGCGAGCCCGTTCAATTCGACAAGGAATTTTACAAAAAGTTAGTAACACACTTAAAAATATATATTATTTTCTTATGCCTACTTCTTCTTTCTTTAGAAAAAATTGAGTTTTTTGCTATAATTTATATTTTATATATTTTTTTTAAAGATTTCTTCTAACCGACTCGGGCATGATGCACTCTCACCCACATTCTTCTACCTTATCATCGGCCTTGATCTTGGACGGTTTAGCCCCACCCTTCAATCACCAAAATCAGTCCCACGAATTCGACGTTAACGCCTATTACTACTTGACAATGATGCACAAGAACGATAATTTTAGAAAAAATGACGCCACGAATTCTGGCTATAAAAATGCCATCGATTTTCCTTTTACTCCACCTCCTTACATGAATCACTTGACTAGTAAAAATTACTAATTAATAAAAACCTATTTATGCCATTTTTGTTCCCTTTCCTTTTAATAAAAACGTTCATCATCTGTAGGGTTAGCATAGATCGTAATATTTTCATGAAAAACGATTTATTTGATTAAATCCTAATTTTAAAAACGTGAATAGATTTAAATCATAATTTTTATTCGATAATACTATCGATTCAAAAATAACGTTCCAAGAAGTTAGTATGTTTTATGAGAACCCAGAAATATTATTAAACCTCTACCTGATAATTTTTTATAAAAATCCGGTTCGGTCCGATTTTTAAAATTATTCTGATAATTCAGGAAAAAAAATCATATAATGTATGTTTATATTATTAATTTTCTTCTAATATTTTCCATTTGCCCTTGAAACATCTTACGAAATTATTCAGAATAATGAAATTTTAAAAATTCCCGCGCCGGTTCATAAATGATTAAAATAAAAATATGGCCCAGGTTTGAATTTTTTAATTTCGGTCCGGTTTGGACCTAAAAATGAAATATTTTTAATCCAAGCCGAGAGGTCTTGATATTTATCATGTATAGTTTTTTTTGAAGGTTATATTAAAATGAAAGTATATTAAAATGAACTTAAATTAAAATGAAAGTAAATTATAATGAAAGTAAATTAATTTGGAATTATCTTTAATATGAAAGTAAAAAAATTGAAAATAAATTAAATTGAAAATCTCTTTACCTTTATTAATTAAATATTTTCTTGGTCTATTCTTTATTAATTAAATTTTTTCTTGGTCTATTCTATAATTTAAGAATCTCTATTAATTATATAATTTCTTGGTTTCTTTATTAATTCAATATTTTCTTCGTATCTTCAATAATTTACAAATCGTAAAATTTTCTTCTTTTTTAAACAAAAACAAATTAATGAATATTCCTTTCCTTAGTTGCCACTGTATTCCTTTTCACAAAAATAAACAAAATACATGGCTAACAACAGGTTCATAATATATATATATTATAATACAATTAATTTTATCATTTTAATACAATTATAAATAATAATTTAAAATATTACAACATGGATTTGATATAAGACGGACGCGTCAATGTTTTCATTGTAGAAGGTGGGGACATGTAAAGATTCAGTGTCAAGGGAAAAGATTTAGGAATAGAAAGAAAAGAATACAAGGAATTAAAACAGATTCTAGAAAGTTTCAATTTGAAAGGTATCCTTTAGGTGTCAAGGATAGATGTACAGAAATTGCCAATAAAGTGAATATAAGATCAGAGAAAAGGACATTAGCGGGTATGACTAAAGATAAAGATATATGGATACAGAAGGAAGAAGAGGAATTATTGGGTGAAATGAGAGATGAATTGGAGATTGGGTATATCATGAGTCATATAGAAGAAATGGCATTATTAGAAGAAGAAGATTGAAAAAGATTATATACAATAAGCCTCAATAGTGTGAACGTGTTGTAATATTTTAAATTATTATTTATAATTGTATTAAAATGATAAAATTAATTGTATTATAATATATATATATTATGAACCTGTTGTTAGCCATGTATTTTGTTTATTTTTGTGAAAAGGAATACAGTGGCAACTAAGGAAAGGAATATTCATTAATTTGTTTTTGTTTAAAAAAGAAGAAAATTTTACGATTTGTAAATTATTGAAGATACGAAGAAAATATTGAATTAATAAAGAAACCAAGAAATTATATAATTAATAGAGATTCTTAAATTATAGAATAGACCAAGAAAATATTTAATTAATAAAGGTAAAGAGATTTTCAATTTAATTTATTTTCAATTTAATTTTACTTTCATATTAAAGATACTTCCATATTAATTTACTTTCATTATAATTTACTTTCATTTTAATTTAAGTTCATTTTAATATACTTTCATTTTAATTTAAGTTCATTTTAATAACCACCTTCCTTGAAGCCTTATTTATTTTAAACGAATACTTTTATTTGAAAGCCGAACCCCATCTAAAACGCAAGACCTCCAATTATCAGCAACAAGGCACAAAAAAATCTCAGCCCACGAACTATTACCCTCAAAACATCGTTTCAAATATAATGTCTAATAAAAAATCGAGCCATGAAAAGGGTCCCATATCCTTAAGCCCCAGGGAAAGGTCGACTTCTGCTCCCAACGTTAATTTACACATGGTGGGTCGCCAAACGGAATCAATTTTATCGGCTCTTAACGAAGTTAAGTCAGGTTCTAAGTCCTCATCCAATCATCAAGTGAGAAATTTTATTTCGATCATTCATATATCTTTTTTTGCATTGTTATTTAGTTATTAATTTATAAAGGTTTTGTCATATTCAATCAAAACAAAATAATTTTATTAATAAATATTAATATTAAAAAATTACAAACAAACTTACACTTGGACACCTAACAATAAAAAAGCGTTATGACTTTTTTTAGCATATGCCTTACATTTTAACTTATTTTTGATTTCCTATTTTTTGTGGTATCTTTATATATTTTTTTATTACATAGGATTATTCTTATATCTTCAATTTCAACACCTACACCGGTGGACAATACGTCCCTTACTCGTCCCTAGCAAAATCAAGTAATATAATCAGTTATTCCTAAATTATCATTGAAACCTGGGTAAGTTTATTTTTAGAGCTGTGCCAATCCACCCGATCCGATATCCTGCCAAAATTAATCCGGTAACTAATACCGGTTAGCCGATCGGTTTTGAGGAAATGTCGTAAAATATTGGATAGGTTAAAAAAATTAATTTTAATTTGTAGATCGGCACAGCCCTACTTATTTTACATATTTAAAATGATTATTAGTTAAGTTTCAAATGATTACTTTAGAAACGATGTTTATTATTCAACGACATGCTCATATAATTTTATTGGTTAAATTTTATTGGTTAAATTTTATTTACCGAATAAAAAGTTGAGAATTATTCTGAGAACTTGGTTATAAAATAGAAAGCAAGGTTTAGAAATATAAAATTTATTTTAAAATGTATTAATCTTATCGATATTATTTTTTTTGGTTTTGGTTTGTTAACATTGTAAAAATTTAAGCATCTGAGCTTAGTCGAGAGTACATTTCTCTTAGAACCAGAACCAACTGGAAGCAGACTCTTCTTTTAAAATATATAGGAACCGGAGTCAGAATTTCTTGAAATTTCCAAGGATCTGAAATATTTCAAACAAAAGTATTATAAAATTTATAGGTGTATATTATATTTCATAATTACCTCGGCCATCCTTTCCTTCCTTACCCTTATCTCATGAAATCCCGTCTCGCGCTTTTAGACAAATCCCCTACCATCTTACCCGCACAAACTTCTCATATACCGTATCCATCTACCACCAATTCGTCGTCTTCGAGTTCATCTCAGCGCACAAATAACGCGAATACTTTGCCTTCTCCGAAAATTAACTCGTCCATCTATCTAATTCCCAGTTCGGCCTCTCCGCTGACCCCCCATCTATCCTCTTCTAAAAACGTCGCGAATATTTTATCCAACATTTCAAATGTTAACCCCGTGACCAATGTCAGTTCAAACGGCTCGAAATTTCATATCACAAATATTAATACGAATGCCACTAACTACAACCCCATTGCTATCAATAGCCATTCCCTCAATCTCAACCACAAGCTGTCTAATCTGAAACACACTCTTTTTACCAACCTTCCCAGCCTGCTTACCCGCAATGCGACTCAACATGCCAATCATCACAATCAGGCAGTTACGGACGTCATCAATCCAGTTAATTCGACAGGCGGATTTTATCATAGTGCTCACACGTCTCCCGCTGCTAGATGTGATAGGTTAAAAAAATATATATAAATAAATATTTACTGTTAGGTATTTTCTAGATTCAGGGCTGGTGTTGAAGTACTCTAGTAGCTTATTTTTAAAGGTTACCATTTAAGTAGTTTGATGGAACAAAGAAAAACAGTTATCAATTTTAATAAAAAAGTTTTCAATATAGGAAAATGTTAAATAAAATTTATCGATTGTCGTGTCACTCGTCATCTATCACCTAATCTATGCGATTTGACTATCATTTAACTCATTAGATAATCGGTTGATATTTCCATCACAGATTTAAGTAAAATTTGGCTAATTATAATGTATGTCGTCAGACTATAAATATCATTTATTAAACCTCGACTAAATTTTTATTATACATCCCTATCCATAGGCGTAGCCTGGGGGGCAAGGGGAAATTTCTCCCCCCCCTCTTCAGAAATTTATCACTTTTTGTGAATATCATTTTAAGCTAATACAAAATATCCCCCTTAGTCCTCCCCCCACTCCCTGATCCCCAAAAATGTATGCATATATCATAAACAATAATTTGAAAGAAAGAATATAAAAGTTTATTTATTTTTATAAATCTATTCATCATAATTTATATATTTTTGGAAAAAAGCATTTATATATAAAAAAAGTGAACCAAAAATGATTTCTTAGAATTGGAATATAAACCAAAGATAAGTCTTAAGACAAAAGTGCAATGTATTATAATTATTAATAATAGATCCATAAAATTAATTAATAATATATATATCAAATATAATTTTTATAAAATGAGTAATTTTAATTTATTTATTAGTAAAATATAATTATAAAACTATTGATAAAATTAAATCATAAATTAAATAAAAAAATTAAAGCTCAATACAAACAGTGGAATATTATATGTCGTAGATTTACAGTATATTTAATAATCAAGTAATTTTTACCAATATAGCGAATTATATATTTTACAGAAAACTATTAAATATTGATAAGGACATCAGAAAATAGCTTTTAAAGACATTGTGGGATGAATAATATGAAGATTAATTATTAATATCATTTTTAAGATAAACAGATGGCGTTAAAAATTGAATGCAAATTGTTGCTATATTTATTATCAAGAGCATTGATTAGTAAAATTTGTTAAAATATTAACGGTAATATATTCTCTAACTGTCAAAGTAAAAGTGGAATTTTACCTAGTATTTTGTAACTAATTCTATATAATAGAGGAATATCAACTATATGTCTACTTACTTTTTATAAATAAATTCCATATACTTGTCTGGAATAAATTATTACCATGCTTTTATATTAATGTATATACAAATTATTTATTATATTTTATATAAACTAATTAAAATATATTTCAGATTTGTTCCAGGCTTATTTTTTTTTATTAAAGTTAACCTCCTATCTTGTAAAAATATTTTATGGCTATATATAAACTAAGGTAACCCGGCCTAAGGCCCGCCTAAAAAGGAGTCTGGGGGCCAAGCCTTCAGTAATTTTTTATTCCCCCCCCCTTAAGAAAATTCTGGCTACGCCTATGTCCCTATCCCATATCAGAAGATTATATATAACCCATCTCATAGCCTATCTTCATCCAAGAATTTGGCTTCAAAAAAAAGTGATAGGTTATTTTTTGAATAGAGTACTTTTGCAGCATTACGCCGAATCCATTTACGCCAGTGACGCAATGTGTGAAGAGCACTACCAAAATATGATTCTTAAGAGCCCCATATTATTTTTAAAAAAAATTATGGAAAAAACCGTAGTATACCAAATTGCATTACACTGAGCAACGATAGTATTCCTATTAGGTTTGAGACAATAGGATTGCACTAGAGGAAAAAATGAAATCCATGTTCTTGACTTGGAATAACAAAGCTTTTTTGTGCATTGCTAGAACCCTACTCGAAATTTTATGGTTAACGATTCTGCAAAGGTCACTTTAAAATTTTTTTTATCAGCATCACTATCAAGATGGGAAATATTATTAGAAATTAAAAGATGACATTATTGAAAGATTCTTTGTATATAAATTAGTGGGAAATTTGAGTTGAATATCTTAAGCCAATCATTTTACAATTTTGGAGAAATATATTTTCCTTTCCGTTGTACGAAATCATGACGAAAATACAACAAACCCAGTTTCGACAAAAATATTGTTTCTGAGCTGTGGAGATCAATAAAAATGTAAATTATTAATTTATATAATAATAAGTAGGACATTTATTACCGAAATCTTCAGGCCTAAGCCATATTCTTCTGGCTAAAATATTAAGTTATCCGTTTAACAACACTATCCTTAACAAAATTTAAAAAAATAGCTGAATGTATCAAATTTATTTGGATTTTTTTGAATCATTTGAGTAAAAGTGGCTGCTAAATTAGCTATTAAAATTGACCTTTGGTCAAAATGTCCCAAAAGCTTAACAATTCGAAAAAAGTATATTCGACTACGATTGTTATGATGACCCTACTATTGATTCCAAAGAAAAATTAAAACTGAAACCATATTTCATCACATAGGTGCTGCAAAAATTAAACTGAAGATAAATTCCCATCTTGCAATCACATTTTTCAATGTTTTTCCCATCCATCCACAAATATTTAAAATAGTAAGTTAATATGAAAAGAAGAACTTTTGGGAAATGCAATTTAAAGTAAATTTAACTTTAAAATAAAAACACTAATGACAAAAAAAGAAATTTAGCAAATTATATCACGAAGGAATTTGTTAATTTATCAGATGTTATTGATTCAAATATATCACCCAGTGAAATTTTATACTTTTGTTTGAAAAGAGGAAGGAAAATTAGTTTGCGAGTTTTTTTTATACGTAGAGCGTCAGATTAGCCAGAGCTTGCACCTTTGCATGATGACCTGTTTGAGCATTATTATGCCACACGATCGGAAAATTATCATAATTTATACAAATTTAAAATAGTATTATATAATCTTATAAATTCATTCACTTTTATTTGGGGCTACATTACGCTCAGAGATTTTAAAGCTTCTACTTTTCGATACTCTTAATCAATTTTTCATGCAACTACCCTTAGTTATTATTTGTTAGGCAGTTTGGGACATTTACGTCAAAAATAGATTAGTTAACGAAAAGTTTGTTAATTTTTTTAAAGTATGGACCATTCTCTTATGGTGTTACATGTAAACAATAGTCGTTTTTAACCTATATCGCATGATTTTTTGATCAATAATGTAACTATAAAAAATGGTTGCATAATGTACATAGAATACGTTAATTTTAGTGGCGTGAAATTTCATCTCCATTTGTCGTTTAAACGAACTTAGATTTAAATATTGTTATGCAATTTCCCGGCCAGATTTTTAGGTGGGCCAGGCCGCGCAGATGCAGATATGTGCTACTACTACCGAACAGTTAGACCAAGAACATATTTTATTTTGCCAAGACATTTTATTTATTTTTTAAAATATTAGGCCACGTTTCTTTGAATTCGAAACGTCTCTTCAACCTGAAATAGCGAGGCCTCGAGCTAAGTCAGCTGATAATGGAACAGTTGGGAACGTGGGGGGCATGGCTCAAGTTAGTAAAATGTTTTAATAATAAAAATATATGTGTTAAAAGTTAGTTCAATAGAATAATAGCAGGAACGGAAAATTATTGTTTCAATGTTCAATATTTTAAGCATCTTTTTTTTCAATCTCAAAATATATTTTAATTAACGTGTCAAGGATTTTTTTAAAATTGTTTAATTTTACACATCAAGGATTGTTTTAAATGTTTAATTTTCGCATCTCTTACCCACATTAGTATTGTAGCTTGGGCATTTTGCTCATAGATGGCAGATAGGTTTGGACATCCATTAGCGGAATTTCAATGCTTACGTTGGAGATCTACCGAACCGTTCGGGTGGGACTGGGTCTGGCCTAATATGTTTTTAAAAAATTCGGGCCGGTCCGGGCTCGAATTTTTTAAATTTAATATTATAATTTTGTGAAATAAATTTATATACAAAACAAAGCGGCAATATTATATATTTGTAGAATATTATTCTCACAATTAGAAATTTATTAAATTTTTCAATATTTAAATAAATTCTGACCGGGTCGGGTAAACAAATAATAGTTATTTTAATTTCGGGTCAAGATTTTCGGGATAGATAAAAAAAAATTGTTCAAAATCAGGCCGGCCGGTCAAATTTTTTTCAACAAATTTGGGCCGGGCTTGAAAAATTAGGCCCGATACTGATCACTAGCTTAACGTAATATTTATTTTGACTAAAATCTTAATTTAAGATTCAAATCGAGTCGGTTAACAACACTAATCTCCACCTTCACATTCATTTTGAAACTTGTCATATGTTAGTTTATAAGGTATGAGATTCCCACCATTATTTTGATCGTTAGATCACAATTCCGTGACGCTATCCAAATTAAATTGGAAAATTATTTTTTGAAAAAAATATATATAAAAACGTCAATATAAAATGATGAAGACACATACTTTTTAAAACAATACATTATATAATATATTTTTTCATTATCGATGAAGACTTCTCATAATAACTTGAATCGGGCCAATAACCCTTCTACGACCATGGAATCAGCCATTTTGGAATGGGAAATCAAGGCAGATGATATTTTGATAGGACCCAAGGTTGGTACCGGTTCGTTTGGTACGGTTTACAGAGGCAAATGGCATGGTTTTTTATATAAAAGAATACATATTTGATTATATATTTTATAAGGTACAGTAATGACTACACATTAAAATTAAATGGTAACTTGATTTATTTTATGCAATACGAAATTATAACAGGTCCTGTTGCCATTAAAAGATTGAACGTCACTGATCCTACTCCTGAGCAGCTGGAAGCATTTAAAAACGAAGTTGCCGTCCTGAGGTATTTTTGTTAATTTTTTTTATGGATTTAGATGCTTTAGAATCTCACTAATAAAAGATTCATAAAATTTGATGAAATATTATATTGCCGAATTTAAAGATAAATAAGAATGGAAAGAGCAAAGAAAAATTAAAAGTGAGATTAGAATGGAAAATAAACATTTAAACCATTTTTTTTAAAAAAAAATTTTCTCAGGAAAACAAGGCACGTGAATATATTGCTTTTCATGGGCTGCATCTTGGACCAAAGCGACCCTGACCTCTTGGCCATAGTAACTCAATGGTGCGAGGGAGCCACTCTTTACAAACATCTCCACATGGACGAGATCAGGTTTGAACCCGTACAAATCTTGGATATCTCGAGGCAAACGGCCCAAGGACTGGACTACCTTCACGCCAAATCCATCATTCATAGGTTGTTACTTTTGAAAAATAAGTGCTAAGTTGTTCATTAATCCTTATTTTTTTTTGTCTTCTAAACAATTCTAAGGATGGAAACCTTTTTATAAAAAATTAGGTTCTTATTAAGATTTAAAAAAGGGTTTGGATTCAAACAGAGGTTTATTTTAAAAATTTTTTATAAAACTGTGGAAGGTAAGAACCCGGATCGAAGACCCACATTAAAAACTAAACCGAATTGGACCTATTTTTTAAAGTTTTTTAAAGCACTTAAAACGTTCAATAAACATTTAATCGTGGGGCCGTTACGTTTCGATGATATGGCCTAAAACATTTCATATACACATAATATATTATTGGTGTATACATTTAAAAAAAAATCATGTGTATATTTTTTTAGGTTTGTGTCTATTCACGAATTTTTTACCTATCTGATTCAATATTACTAACCGATCGATTTTAAAGATTGATTCTTATTTACCATCTATCTTTTAAAAGATGTCATCAAAAGATTAATTATTTTTTATTCAAAAAAACTAACTAATTTTCACGATCGATTAAGTCTATTTTATTTTTTATCCTCCAAAAGTTAATCATCTTATTTAAAATATGGCAATGTTTCATGACTGTATTTGTTTATAAATTGCTTGATTTATCCTATTTTTAGCAAACGACTAAATCCATTTTGTACAATATATTATGGGTACTTCCAACTCAAATCTTGTGTCAGCCAATTTTAAAAATAGGCGAACGACCCATTACTCTTCATTTATAGTTAGCACGAATTCACGGCGAAGAATACAAAATATGCCATATTTTTGTGTTTTTTATATACTTGGCCATGAATTCGCGTTACCTGTGAATGCAGGGTTAGATATTTTTAATTCTTTCTCTTGTTGCAGATCATATAACAGAAAGTAATATCAAATTTTTAGCTACTCTTCAAAATAATTTTTTTTAAAACATTATAAATTGCAATATGGTTCCTTAATTATTAATTTATCATTGTTATTATGAAATTATGTATAAAATAAAAAAGATATAATTATATTACAAATCATAAAATAACCTTTCAACTTTTTCCATATATACAGCGCTTTTCCTACTGATCATTTTTGAATTTAAAATTTTGCCACCACTTTTATGATTGGGGAATTAAATGAAAACTTCACCTTTTAATTATAATTCACCACTTTTATAGTTAATTCAAGTTCGAGACACTTGTATTAAAATTTATTGTATATTTATAATTCACAATAATTCCCATAAAAGAGATAATAATAATTTCTACTTTTTAACCTCCTTTACATCTTTTAAAATCGCCAAATAAATAATATAAAATAATAATAAATAACTAATAATCCTTGCTAACAAATTGACAATAATAATAAATAACAGTAATATAATCCTTTTTATACATTTAATATAATAATAAATGATTAACAAATGTTTTTTTTCTTTTTTTTTTAAACAAAATAATGACACTTAATTTACTACTGATACGCCTCCCATTATTGAAATCATGTCCATCGTCATTAATGCTTCCGCCCAATATCTACCACAATTTCTCATCCGTGATAGAAACTCTAACCAATCATCCAACTCTTCTTCCCCAATTACAGTCATTTTGATTTCCAATTGTTCCCTCATCGCTTCTCCCGTCGGCTCCCGTCTTAATCCTATAGGCGTTTATGCCTTCCAAGAATCTATTATAGCTACCTCCACTGGTTCCTTATTGGTCGGCGTCCCAGAGACAGTTTGACCATTGTTTTAGTGGGTGTATTTGTTGTGCCTTTTTCCTTTTGCGGAGGTGGTCCAGCTCTTATAATAGTTATATTGAACTTACATTTATGGAAACTAATAGATCCTAGTATATTGATGATGCGGTTATACAATTGATCATTCGTCCTAGGAGAAGACATGAAACCAGAGAATCGGAGTTGGCTTCACCAAAAGGGCGCAGCCAATAGAGATTCAAGGAGATGTTTCCGTTGTCGTGCGCGGGAACATGTTCAAAATAGATGTACGTGAGGGACCAAAATGGGTATTTTTAATTTTTAAATAAAGGTAAAATGATAACGAATTAAAATTGAAGTCTCCGATCAGGTTAGTGTCCGTGAACAATGCGAGACCCGTGTTTGAAATAGTAAGTAGTAGAGCTGGACAACCTCTGCTAACGGGAAAAGAGACAACAGAGATATTCAATACAGCAATGATCAAATTGGTGACGAAGGGACCAGCTGAGGTATCTGTTGTAAGTGTGTATTTTTAGATTATAACTTTATATAATATCTAATATCAATCAAGTAATGTTTAAATGTAGATTCGTAGATTATATATTTAGTTTTACATAATATTATATGTTATACATGCCAAAGATCAGTATAATGTCAATCATTTTGAATTATTGTCATTAGAAGGGCTGTGAGGTTGATCGAGCAGGCCTTTGTTGGTTTACAAAATAAAACTTCGTGACTTGATTCAAACATGAATGTATATATATGGGAATTGTTTAAGTATATATTAAATTCTTGGGAAGTAGAAACGCTTATAAGATTGAGACGGGAGAAGCTATGAGAGGGAACGTTTGGAAACCACAAAGACTGTAATTGGGGAAGAAGAGTTGAATAATTGGTTGGAACACCTTATCTCATATAAGGAATTGGAAGAGATATTGGGCGGAGCAATAATGACGAGGGATATGGATTTTAATAATGGGTAGCGCTTCAGAATAGTAGGGAAATATGTAAATTATGTGTCATTATTTTGTTTGAGAGAAAAAGAAAAAGGAACATTTGTTAATTATTTATTCTTATATTATATGTATAGAAAGGATTATTAATGTTATTTATCAATATTTGTCTTTTTATTTCGAGATTCTAAAAGAAAGAGGTTAAAAAGTGGAAATTATTATATTCTTTTTTCGTTTTTGTTAACCTCTTTTTGTAAATCATTGTGAATTATAAATATATAATAAATATTAATACATTGCGTTAACTATAAAAGTGTTGAATCAAAATTAAAAGTGAAGTTTCCATTGAATTCCCCAGTATAATCATCTTTATTAACAAATTATATATTAATTTATTCTTGATTATTTTATATAATGTAAAATAAACTACATTTTTGCGGGTTCAAATTTGAATTATAGGAAATATAATATTTAAATTGAACAAATTATAGTATATTTATAAAAATAACTCGGATTATTCATTAATTGGTATTGATTTTACTTTCGATATTTCTAAATGTGATTATTTACTAAAATTATAAAAATATTTTAAAAAAATATGTAATTAGTATGTTAAGTATACGAAGAAAAAAATATATTAAATAGCTCATATCCTGTTATTTGCCTATGTAAATTTTATCGAATAGGGTCAGCTTTAGAAAGCCATAGTGACACCTTTCATTAAAAGATTAATTCTCCCATTATGCCTCTATACAAAAAAAAATATAATTTGACTAGCATCATTAATAACGTGTTTTATTAATTATTTTAAAGGTGAGAATAATAAACTTTATAGGAAACAAAAATTTTAAGATACAAGAAATCTTTGGAACGTTTACTGATATTTTTTTCCAATAAACTTTACATATTTTTCACTTGGAATAATAAAAGAAACACAAAGTAATATTTTTTAAAAAAAACAAGATTATTTTGTTTAAAATTGAACTCAAAAATACGTTAATTTATTCCACGATGCAGAGATCTCAAATCTAACAACATATTTCTCCACGATGACCTGACCGTCAAAATTGGCGATTTTGGACTAGCGACTATCAGAACAAGTTGGAACGACGAGGAACAATGCGTGCAACCCACCGGATCTATATTATGGATGGTTTACATTTAATCAAATTTTCCCAATTATAATAGCTATCATTTTTTTCTTTCTTTAATTTTTCCCCTAATGTATATCTTCATTCTTGCGCGTTGGAATCAATCACAAAAATTGAAAAATATGCAATTATTATATATATAATTATTAAAGGCTCCCGAAATAATCCGTATGAACAAGCCCGTCAAATCATCTCAATCATCATCAGTTTCGTCACCCGTCTTGCCTTTGCAACCATCTTCTATGCCCTCGCCACAATCCTCTGTTTCGATTAAGTCCTCGCGACTTATTCAATCCCCGTATACGTACTCTTCGGACGTATACGCGTTCGGTATAGTGCTCTTCGAACTCGCTACTAACTCTCTTCCTTATGCTGAGGCAACGCGAAAAGATGCTAATCGTGACGTTCTGCTTTACGGGATAGGGAGGGGCCTGCTACGACCACTATTGGCCGAAGCGGAAGGTGGAATAGCTAGGAAAGATGTGCCTAAAGCTTTTAGAAGGCTCGCAGAAGAATGTTATGCATTTGAATTCGGAAAAAGACCTTTGTTTCCTGAAGTATATAAAATTTAGTTTTAGGGTAAAGGGAAAATTTTAAAAGGTAGTGAAAATTTAAGAATATTATAATGAATTTGGATATAAAAATATTTTAATGTGTTATGAATTATGATCGATAAATACTCATTTAAAAAAGATTCTATCGTCTCTCGAGAACTTATCCCGGCAATTACCTCGTATCCACAAGAGCATAAGCGAGCCTACCATAAGCAAAATCTCTTATTGCAATGCAAATGATCCAACTGAAATCCATAATGAAGAAGAAATTGATCTCATAATATCTAAATTTGGCGACAATTTTTTTCCAAACGTTAATTTGGCTACAAGCAATATTATTACAAATATAAATCTTAACATCAACCCCGATATTAATATCGGTAATAAGCATCTTGATATCGAACAGATAACTGATGCTATGAGCGGTTCATTTTATGATACACCAATTTTTTAAAATAATGTTTAATATTTTAAAATGCATTAATTGACATTGAACTATAACCATGTAATTTACATGAATACTGAGTTGTATTTCAAAAAAAAATCGCTCCAGAATTGCTTTAGATCTGTAAAAAAATGTAATATATTTTTATCAAAATAATAAACTTACTTATCTATTAAAAAATTGTAATTTTTACCAGTCATTTCATGAATAATAAATGATTTTATATATTATTATATTATAATACCAATTTATAATTCATTTAGTAATACAATAACATTTTAAAATGTTTGAATTTTCTAAATATGATAAGTAGAAGTAAGCTTCCCAAATTTTGGAAGTAAGGATAATATGTTAATTCAAATCGAAATTAACTTTTTTTACATCATCAATGTATCGAATTAAGATTACTCTCTAAATAATAATATATAGCAGAGTTGTTAAAAGAGACTTTTTAAATGGATCTAGATACAGATACATTATCTAAAATAATATCTAGATACATATATTTTAATCAAAAATCTATCTAGATACAGATACCACATTTTTATATCTAGATACTGGATCCAGATACAACAACTCTGATATGTAGTAATAATGTCTTTACTACAATAAAAACCTTACAATATATTTTCTACACATAATGGAAAAATGAATAAAGATTCTAAATTGACTTGAGTAAAAAAATTAACTCCATAGCCTCAATAGGATAAAAATAAATCGCATCAATAAAAAATGTGTTAAGTGCTAATTGTTCAAAATTTTGAAAAGCAAATATTGTTAAAAATAATTAAATGATAGTATTTTAATTATAAATTTTAGTAATTTATACATTATATTGATTAAAGATCTACGCCGAACCGGGAAATTCCATTAAAATATTATAAAGAGTCCGGTAATTAGTACATAAAATTTTTCTAGAACCGAAAAATTTAAGGATAAAAAATCTGGCCCTCGCAAATCAGATTTTTTGTAAATTTCAATAGGTAAAGTCGGGCATTTTAAATTATTTGAATTTCAAGTTAAAACTTTTATACTATTTAAAATTAAATTATATGTTTATTTCTTCGTATTTAAGAGCTGACTAAAATACTAAATCTATAAATAAAATAGTAAATTAAGCACAGACATGAACTATTTAAAAATATATAATAGTGATATAAAACACAAAACCGTTATTATAAGAATAGATAGCCACAAGGAGAGATATAAGAGCATTAATTGACATTGGGAATAAAATAGATATAGATCTTAAAAAATATCATAACCTGAAAATTCGTACAGAAAAATTTAACGGGGTGGACTTTTTGTAAAACTTTAACGGACCAGGCATGACTTTTCATAGAGTTTTTAAAGGCCTGTCAAATTTTAAAAAAATTAGTGAGCCGGGCTTTTAGGACCTCTAATTTTGATTGAGATTTATTTTCAATTATAATATCATTTTTTAAAATCATTTATACATAAAAGTCAGATTGTGCTAACGAAAAGTAAAAAAACATTCTTGCAATACTTTTATAAGGGTCGGTTTTTATTGTTACCAGTCCAGTCTGGATACCGGGGTTTTTATAAAATTTTATTTATCTTATTAAGTAGTGAAATATTGACAGCAATAATATTAAGAATTTTCAAATAATTGCCTATTTTCTTCGTTATTTCGTTTAGGTACATTTATTTTCCTCCCTGAAACCTAAAAGTCCAAAACGTGGAACAAAACGGGAATACAACATAATTTTTAGGCTGAAATAGAGATGCAAAAATGCCTTTCCTGATATTTTTTAATTTTTTTAAGAATATAACATTAGTATTTTAAAACCAGGTTCAGTTTATCGGTTATTGTTTTTTCTTTTAACAATATATATATTTGTTTTGCCCTTTTATTTTTGTACTAATTTTTTTGTTTATCCTTATTGCGAAAATAATTCATTTTTTGGTAATTGATTCGGGGAAAAATAATTTGAGAAAATAATAATTTATTAAAAGAATTATTTATAATCAATAAAAATATCCATCACCAAAAATAAATAAATAAACAATTTGACAAAAAAATGGCCCACAAAACAATTAGAATATCATTTTAAAAAGAAAATAGAAATCTTTAAAAATAAGGAACATAAATGATAAGTGATCAACCCAGATGACCAATAAATTCAATCATAGCACGTGACCTGTCATTTATTTTATTATATCTAATGTATTTTTATGAATACAAAAGCATGCATTAGTTTAATATATTTCTTTACAGGATCATTTTATTTTTTATTATCTATAACATATCGATTATGTTGCTTAAATCATTATGCAAATTTAAATATTCTTTTGTCTTCCTTCTTAGTATATGCAATTATATCTAATATTATTATAATCTTTACACCGTATTATGAGGTAGATTATTAGACTATTTTGTTGATAAATTTTTTGCTTTATGAATTATACTATTTTAAAATGAATATATTTCGATTCATTATATTTTATAACTATTTATCATTTCTAGATATCAGTTAGAGCTATTAATTTAGGTTTACTAAATGCTCTAGGATTTTATCTCTCCTTTCATCCACTCAAGAATAATATAGCTAGTCTTACAGGATTGGGAATTTATTTAATTTCACTAACTATCTTCCATTTTTCTGAATATTTTGTAACGGCATTGATTAATCCAGATTTAGCTAATTGTGACTCATTCTTAATCAACCATAGTACTGCATACAGTTTGGCAGCATTGGCAAGTTGGATTGAATATGTTGTAGAGTTCATATATTTTGCAAGTTATTAATTCATCACTTATTATAATTTGTTATTATGTAATATATTAAAAACATTTTCTCTTTGACTATATAGCAATCAAATATATTTTGTACCATTTTTTTTACCCTATACACTATTAATTTTATAATTTAAAAAACGTTTTATTTATGATATAATTTGTGTAAAATAATACATAGCGTTAAAATACTAAATTAAAATAATATAAAATAAAATAAATAAAATATTATATAAAAACCGAGGTGGGACTACAAGTTCCCAAAAAACATGTGTAGTTATATTTTAAAATTATGATTTGGAGGTTTTGTTTTAAGAAATAAGATTCTTTAGGTTCTGATGTAAGGGCTCTTATCTTATCCCCTATATTTTTTAAAAACTTTAAAGTTCCACTTGGCATATGTCCAAGGGAAGAGATGACAATCGGTGTAAAAATATAATTTGTGAATTTGGAATATTTCATTGTTTTTTTTTCTCGGCTATATAAACCGGATTAGAATTTAAATTTTTTGGGAAAGAAGATACGCATGTGAAGTCCCAAATTAAGGATTTCCCTAAAGACCAAGGCACGGAAGTTAAACCATCTGGTCTTAAGCCATCATCTAACGATAAATTTGTAGGCTCCAGGATGTTTGGTATTCGGGCCCTGGTAAGAGAACGGCTAATAGCTAAATTAATTGCTGCATGCCTTGCATGCCTGCCTTGACTATATATACAATTTAGACCATGTCTCCCTTTGGAGTCAACTAATGTTTTACATTTGATGCATGTATGTGGTTGAACAATGTTACATCCAAGTCGATGGCCTATGGCAACTCTTAATTGTTCATCTGATAAGAGGTTACCTAGGTTACGACTTGGTAATGCTTCCAACCATTCATAGCCACTAGTACAGTCAGCATTCTGTAATAGTTGAATATACTCCAAAGGGGGGTTTGATGAGATTATTTAAAAAAATTTTTTAATTAAAGGTTCGAAAAGAGATTGGTGTGTTAAGATCGTGGGTAAGACAGCTTCAGGTGGAGCTAAAGATGTCCAGGCTGTCAAGGCTGAGTTTAAAAGGTTATCTTTAGGAGAGATAAAAGAAGATATCATGGCGTTATTCATCAAACGCGATGCCAAAAATGAGGAAAGAGATAGAAGGTTTAAAGGATATAAATCTAAACCACCCATTTTCGAGGGTAATTGTGAGAAACCCCAATTAAAATCTTCCAATTTAATATTTAAAATATTTTCTAATAAACTTCTAAAAAATTCATGAACACGATTAATAATTTCATTATTTAAAAAAAAGGAAGAAGATCTAAAAATATGTACTATCTTTGGTAAAAATAAATATTTTTTTAAAAGAAAAAAGCTCTGGTGTGAAGGAATTTCGTTTAAAATATTTTCGAGTCCTGATAAGCCTTCGAAAAATTTTTCCACGAACACCTCACAGTTGGAAAAACTGCTTAAAGGTGAACCTAGAAGATTAATTTCACTTTTTTTGATGATTTTAAACCCTTGGACTTTGAGAGTATTTGAATTTAAAAAGCATATTTCCGATTTAGCTTTATTTAGAGTAAGGCCTATGTTTAGAGAATTTTTCTCTATATAATCTATCGCTGCAAGAATATTTTTAGAAGGTCCGCAAATGGTACCATCATCTAGATACCATATGTTTAAATCTAAATTAAAAGAGGATTTTAGACAATGAACTAGGTTATGTATACCTAAACTAAAAATCAGAGGGCCCAAAGGGTCTCCTTGTTGAATACCCTCGTCAGAAGGAATTGTTATAATATTTTATTTATTTTATTTTATATTATTTTAATTTAGTATTTTAACGCTATGTATTATTTTACACAAATTATATTTTATAATTTATATCTTTTTTATACATATCAATAATTTTAAAAGGTATCAAAAATATGTCATTCTTTTTAATCACTGGGTCTATAATATGCATTATTGGGGATTTAATTCGTAAAACCGCTATGTTTACAGCTGGTAAGAGTTTTAATCACTTGATTCAGTATTCTCCATCAAATAGCCATGTATTAGTGACCAAAGGGATATATCGGATATGTAGACATCCTTCATATCTTGGATGGTTTTTATGGTGTCTTGGCACTCAAGTTTTCTTATATTGACATTTTTTATATTACTTTATTGTTCTGATGAATCTAAATGAATATTTTTTTTATAATTCTGGGTTTACTTCAAAATTGTTACAATCATACAAGAACCCTTTTTTAATCAAGAAGGGTTCATAGCCCTGAACTTGATTACTTCCAAATCAATTAAAATAAATTGGAAAAAATTAGCAGTAAATTTTTTTAACACTTTATTTTATTTGATATTAAAGATATTACTCTGCAACCCTGTATGCTTTGTTGGTTACCTCATTACCTCATGGAGATTTTTCAACCAAAGGATAATGGAAGAAGAATATCATTTGATAAAGTTTTTTGGATCATCTTACATAGAATATAAGTATCAAGTTGCTTCTGGTCTACCATTAATTAGCGGATATCCTATAGATCCCGATTTTAAATTAGAATAATTTCTGTATTACCTTCTTATATACAAACACCTTTTTTATGTATTGCTACACCTATTTGGTCAACACATTTTATGGTGATTATGTAGTGACTAAATGTATTTATTTTTGAAAAATTTTTATTTTAAAATATGTGTTATCATATCTAAGTATTTCACAGTCCAATCTTAATGAGATAAAAGAATAATATTTATCTTGCCAAGATATGAGCCAAAATTTAAATGATATATTTCCCACGCCACTTCTGTCCAAAATTTTTTTAGGGAAGCGATTTACATTTTTCTTATCCATAATATGCTTATGCTTTGAAAGTGATTATCAAATATATTAATTACACCAGTGTAAGTTCATGATTAAAGGATATAATGCTTTGAACTGATTTTTAAAGATAGCTAACTTATTTTAGCCAGAAAAATATTTCGAGATTTCGCTAATAGATGTTCAAACCTTTGTACCATCTATGACCAAAATCCTCACGCTTGTGTGAAATTTCGATAAAATATTATTCATTTTTAAAAATCGTCATTTAGCAATCATAGCATCCTTATTTTTTATAACATGTTCATTTTTCAGGGTTTCTTTTTACAGTAATTTCTGTTTAGACTTTGGAGGTTTTCGGTTTTATAGTTTTTCTCGCTTTATTTTTCGTTTGATATTTATATATTTGAATTTTTACCTCCTTCTTTATTTATTTTTTTTGGAGAAGAGAAATAATTTCGTTTTTCTTTAAAAAAAAATGAGGCTAATTTTTTGGAAAAAAGAAAAAGAATAATAATTCAAATAAATTTGGAAGAAAAAATTAATTAATTAACTTTTTGTTTCTTTTTATAACAATTATCAAATAAATATAAATTGATTAATAATCTAAATATTATAAAAATAAAAATCCATTAATCGACAAAAAATTATGACTTGACAAAATTTACAAAAATATTTAAAATAAAAAATTTTCACTAACGCTATACATAAAAAATTGCGAATACCTCACTTACGTAATTAAAAACAAATTACTGATATATGATCATTACTTGATTAATCACAGCAGAAACCTTTAAGATCCAAATGATATACGGACTTATAATCAACCTATTGAGCGTTTATGGAGGGATCTCATGGCGAGCATCCCCAAAACAGAAAACAGTAACAAAATCTTGTCATTTATATATATTTGAATATTCTTATTTTCGTAATATTAAACATGTCTAATTTAAGTAAACTAATTAAATTATATAAATTTATATAAAACTATTTTTGATTTCCCTTAAAATTCTATCTATAGTATCATGGTTCATATATTATATTTATTCAAATAAATTACTTAATTATCCAGTATTTGACTTATTAGTCTTAACTTAGTAGCATCCAATTAGCACACGCCTTTTAAAATAAATAACAAAATTACACGAATTCAACTAAAAATATATATACGCCATTTTTAATATAAAATTATAGAATGCAACTTTGGATTATTATATCAAAAAATTTCCCACAATAGTCACACGATTGCATATTTATTATTTTTAATAAAAAAATATTAATAAATAAATTAAAAATAATATTAAAATTTTCTCCGAGTTTCAGTGACTTTCTGAAGATTGATTAGATTTTGGTAAATATAGTAGAATTATGTGGGCATGATATAGTGAAGACTGAAACAGTGAAAATCATGGAATATTTCTAAAAAATATTCCCAATATGGAACATTTTCGATATGGAAAAGTAAATAATTAGTTTTACCATAAAAATCGCATCAGTCTCAGAAAATTTAAAAACAATTTTGCAATCAAGTGTATAAACTTTTTATTGTAAATAAAATTTCTCAAGAAGGACATAATTTCATACTGATTTCGATATTTAATCTTATGACAAATGCCAGCTCCCATATTATTATTTGACACTTATCAAATCAGCTGTAATAATTTTCTCAAATTTACAACACGTTAATTTTTACGATAAAAAATGAAATTTGAACTTGATAATAACACTATATTAACTGAAATATTTCATGTTAAAAATAGAAATCTGACCAAATATATATCATTATCAAACATCTTCCCCTCGTCAACAAATAAAATATATGTCAACTTGCAAACTTATGAAGGAATAAAATTCTTTTTAATTGCTGATTGCAATGGCTGGAAAAAAATATCTCACACATTTGATAAGATTGTTATCCATACTCCAAAATATTATGAAACATTGATCAGCTTTCTACTTGATAAAAGTCCAGAGTCTAAAAATATCATTAAAAACTCAATAAACATGGATATAGATGCCTTATTATTATAGGACATGTTGAATATTTTTTAAACCTTTTTATTTTAAAAATACATAAATAATGTTTTTGGTATTTTGTGACTATAGATTTATAAATATAGATACTACCTTTTTTGCAATCAATTGTATTCTATATAAAATAAACTTCTTGTAATTTGGTGTTTCATTTAAATTTATTAAGAATTTAATTCATTAGCAAATAGGAATAAGAGATTTTGCAATGTTTGTCCCATAGATCAGATAATGTCTGAATTTGGGCCAGGCATGATCTACTTTATATTCATGTTATGATATTTTCTTCATGTTTTTGATATAGTCCTATATTTTAGACTCCTCAATATCTCTTTAATTTTACATTATTTTGAATTATCTCTTTAATTTAACAATATTTTGAATTATCTCTACTTTTAGCCATATAAAGAATATACTATATGTTTAAATAATAATATTAATTACAAGGTGATAGCCATTTAAGAATGAAGAGTGAAATCAGGCATTTGTTAGGTGGATAATAAATTTGTTTATTTTCTAAAGCAAGTATCAGAAAATTATCTTTCTGATGAGGTGCGATTCATAAATTTCCCATTATAATAAAATATACTAATGGAGTGTATATTTAATACATTTATTATGAGTTAAATTACTCATTATAGTGTCCTTATATATATATATTTATTTAAAAATTGTTCAGGAAAACATTTTTAAAAAAGAATTTCTAGTATTTTAATTAGGATATCACTTACTAATGGCAATACCTTTTTTGAAGAAAAGGAACACCATTCATTACATTCTTCTCAGGCGCGTACGCAGCGGGGGGGGCAGGGGGACAAATCCCCCCCCCCCCTTAAAGCCAAAAAATGCAGATGCCGGATTATATTTTCCAAAAATATTATTGTTAATATTAATTTATATTTGTTAATATTTATTCTTATCTCATATATATATATATATTTAATTACATTTATTTATCACATTCATCTTCTAAGTTATTTTATCAATCAATTTCGATTTCAAGTTTTCCTTGGCGTAATTTACCTATTATTTTCAAATTTTAGTGGTGTAATATTTATCTAAATTTCTAATAAAATAATAATTATCTCTGAAACTCCTTGTCCAACAGGGAGAAAAAAATTGCAAGCTTGTCCAACGAGATCGAGTCTCCGCCACAGTAACAGCTATTTTGGAGTTAGAAGAGCTGATTATTAATGTTATTACTGAAATATCACAATGGCTTGAAAGAAAAATTTCCTAAGAAGCAAGAAAATTATTGGATTCAATACTTATTCCAAATTTTTTTCTCATTAGAATGTATTATTTAATTATACAACTATTTTATGTAATACTTTTCAAAAACATAACATTGACTTGATTAAGAAGATGAGAATAGCGGAGAGCATTTTATTAGAACTCAAGGAAATAGAGCTAGTGTTGTTGAAGAATTTTATATGTTATTGTTGAGTCAAAAGCAGAGCTATACGTGTTAAATATTTGTCCCCCTCGACTTGCAGCAAGCAAGCTCATCATCAAAACATTAATATAGGATCAGTAGAAGAGTATTATAAAACAAATGTCCCCTCTCCCAACCTTTTTCATATGGTGATAGAAAAAAAATATAAATATTTGTTATATTTTTATCATGAAGATGTTAAAATATCTTATGATGCCTTATTAGCTGAATAACTATGATTAAAAGATTAACTATGGTTGATACAGTCCCAAAAAATGCTATGGATGCTTTTTATTTCAAACACATTTTAGATTATACTCCGAATTATTAAAATGGTTATATATATATTAGCAGCTCTTTAGTAAACTAATGAGAGAACATTCACTTTTTTAAAAAGAATAACAGAGCCTTGCAGAGGTACCATTTGCAGGACCAGGCCCAGATTTTTTTTAAAAATTTTTTCCGGCCCGGGTTTTTTTTAAAAAAATTTTCAGGCCCGGCCCGGCTAGCCCAGCCCGAATTTTTTAAAATAAATTATACTTATTCTTGATATTTATAGCTAATAATGGCGATTTCAAATATTTGGTTTTAAAATATACAACTCGGCTCGGATATTTTTCCTTAAAAAATTTTCAGGCCCAGCCCGGGTTTTTTTTTTAAAAAAAATTACGAGCCCGGCCCGGGTATATTTAAAAAAATTAAAATTCGGGGGCCGGGCCTGCAAGTCTGTGAAAAACATACCTATGAAATACAACATCTGAAAGTAGGTTGAATGATTTGGATCTTTTGAATATTCATAGACATTTAACGCCAAGCAAGGATTGATAATTGAAAAATTAGCTCAAAACACACAAAATACAATTATTCCTAAGAAACTTTTTGTGTATTAATTTATATTTACAACATTTAAATTTTTTATACTTTATATATTTTAAAAGCTCAAAAAATTCAAATTTCAATTTTGGGTCATTTAAGTGATTCATATCGTGGGTTATATTCACTTTATATTTTATGATTCACATTTAAATGCCGGTTTTATATATATAATTTTTTTAATTCACATTAGTTTAAAATTGTGTATTAGAAAAGTTATTAATCCTAATAAATTTATGCTTAGTATTTTTAATTAAAAATATTATTTCTTAAAAAAATTTATTATCCCCCCCCCAGACCAAATTCCTGCTTACGCGCCTGATTCTTCTAGAGGCAACAAGTAATGGTAATGCAAAACATTACTCGTTACTTCAAATTTTTCTTAAAAAATATGGAGAAAACATATTTTATTTAAATTATAGTGAAAGTTAAATTTAATAAAAAAAAATTTCTATACAAAAAATATTATAAATATTAACAGTCAAAT